CTTGCACAACAATCTGCAAAGCCTGTGCTTACCTTGGGATTAAGCACTGCTGAGAAACCACGCTGCGTGTACCGCTTCTGGGGCTTTAGTTTTGTGAGCACTCATTCTGGGTCTGCTTGCCGTTGCATAAAAATGCGCTGATATTCCGGGGATATGCCATTACGCTGCACTCGTTCTTTTCCGCCTTCCCACGCTTGCAATGCTTATGTTATCTGTGTTATTGTTCATTTATGTGTGGCTCAAAGCGTGTGCCAAATATTGATAAAAACATAATAAGTATTCACTAGCAAAACTGCGCACGGATTGTACCTACTGATTCCTGATAGAAAATTACTTTCACTCGTTACTCCCACATTGACATATATAGCCCCGACAAGCTCGCTCCCAGAAGAGACTGGAATTTGCGCGGAAAAGGCATTGTGTCACTATCTTTGCGCGCACCTTCCTAATCACAGATTTACCTGTGGAAAGATAAAAAAGGTCACCAACATCTGATGAACGCATGTGCGCCACATCTAGCAGCTGGCTGAGATAATTGGCGTGTGGATTAGTTCGCCGTATTGATAGTTTCGATAACCGTTCTTAGAAGCTGCTGGACATTTTCACACAATGCCGCAGCTGTTGCGTCACAAACAATCGACTGTGCTGCTGCAGTCACTAGCCAGAGCCAAAGAAAATTCCGCCACTCGCTCTAAGGCACCAGCACCTGTCTGGGAAAGCCAGGCTCAAGAAACGAGGGCCGAGTAAAACAGGTAACTGACATGATCTTAGCTTTTTCACAGAGCAGCAATATTAGAGCCGGCTGAGAAACAGCGTTTTTTTTTTAGTAGCAACGTGCGTATTTAATCAAAAGTTGCCTGTGCTCCAAACAGTGCTCTGTTGCAAGGTTCCATTGAAGTTATGCAGTTCTACACGAATAAAGCAGTCGAGCTCAGCGAGTTGGAAAAACCGCAACTGAAAACGATAAACTGACAGTGCACATTCCACGCCCGCCTTAGGAACTGCGTAAGAGCTGTATAGTGGACACTGGTCCCGGATTTGCTCCGCCACAGCGTCATTAAAATTGACAAAAACATGTGTTCAACAATGCCATTTACAGGCTTGAAAGTCTCTCAAGTAATATGCACAATTTCATCCCAAATATATTCACACAAAACTCATAAGTTCGCGGTGATAGCCTTTACACAATGGCGTAATTATTTTAATTGACATTCACGACTCAAATAAGCCTCAGTGTCTGATTATATCTGACAATTTCGACAATGTTCTTCCATAAGATTGGCTCACGATTCACGACGTAACCCTTTCGATTCTTTCTCTTGTTATGACCACGTACAAAGAAATGAATTAATCTAATGCAACGGTCGTGGCGGCCGGCTCTCGAGCCCGTTTCCACTCCCGCCCGGCCAGTTCTCCGTTAACCAAGTTCGTAACGAGCTCCCCTCCAAACGAGCATCTTCCAACTTTTCCCACCAAACTTGCTCCGTTTATCAAACGTGCAGGGAGCGCGGCGTGGAGCTCGCTAACTCTTCGGAGACGTTCTGAGAACTGCTGGTCCGGGGAGAGCGGACCGCCTCCCCCCATCCTCCCTCTGGCTGAGACCAATGGTCCGTGGCGCGGTCCTCCGGCGGACCAGACAGATAAACAGGATACAGCAGGGTCCGTGATATCGGCTCGTCGGCATGTCGACGATCTGACGACCCTATGATTTTTCGGTTAGTTTCGATGCTGTTTTATGACCGCGGTTTTCGTTGTGATAGGAATGGGGAGCTAGAAGCAACTGCAGGTACACAGAGAAAATATTGGTCTGTGTCAGTCAGTGAAAAAAAATGTTGACACTTTTTAACTTTATTTTAACGACTTTGTTTCAGCCAACTTATAACGACACTTGATCAATTTTTTTAGGCCAATCAGTAGCTATTCGTTTAAAATGACATCAGGGGCCCGGGAACGATTTTCAAGTTGGGGGGGCGAGCCTAAAATACCTGACATGATGCATATGAAACAGTGGCGTAGCTAGGGGTTTAAGGGGACACGTACCCCCCCCCCCCATCGGGATAAAGGGGACTCTCGTGTCCGAGGGGCCCTGCGGCGCCATTTGACCGCTGAGGGTTAACGATGGCCATATTTCTACTCAGAAGGGCCCCATGGGGCTCGTCAGAGCACCTCATGGGCCCTAAATAGCCACACTAAGATCTCCATAAGGGTCCGACGCCGGCGTCTGAGGGCCTCTTGCGGCTTTTAAGGACACCTCGGTGATCTCCAAAGGCCCGTTACTGGCCTCTGAGAGGTCTTACCGGCCTATGAGGTGCCAGTTCTAGGGGCATTTCCCGCCTGTGATGGTCCCACACTTAATTTTCTGAGGGCCCCATAACGGCAACTGTGGGGCCCTCGTCGGCGCCTATGAGGGCCTGTCTCTAAGGACCCCACAGGACTTCTTCTGCCGGCGTAAGGTCCCCTTGCCGGTCACTGAGACTCCCTGCCGGCTTGTAGAGAGTTCGCGTCAGCAGCACTAAAGGCCCCACACCCGTCTGTAACGGCCCCACACCACCGTCTATGAGGATCCACAGCAACGCCTGTAACTTGTAAGGACCCTCATCGGCGCCTCTGAGAGAATCACACTAGCACATCTGAGCGCCCACACCGGCACCTGCATGGCGGCCCCACACCAGTGCCTCTAAAGGCCCCTTACCGGCGGCTCTGAGGGCCCTACGCCGGTGATTCTGAGGGTGCTACCGATAACCGAAGGCACCACACAAGCCCTTAGTGTCGCTGAGCTTTAATCCCATACCGGCCCTCCGAGGGCGCCACGTCAGTGCACCCATTGCCCCACACCCCTCCATCACATCCGGAGCGGGTAAACTGTGTTATACCTACAGGGTCTTTCATAATGAATGTTACTTTTAAAGGAGCTATTTCTCAGGACATATATATTCCTCATGTCATATGTACCATCACATGAAACAGAAACACATTAGCGTTTTTGCACACATAACTTTCATTTTAATGCTCCTCGGGGATTTTCCACAGTATCGCCTTTTCTTAAGGCACACGTTTCGGCCCTCTGACGAAGGTGTCGCACCCCGCGCCTCACAACGCCTGGGTTCAGGCTTCCAGCAAACCTTCCCACTGTTGTTCGCAGTGGATGGTCGCAGGAGGGTTTTGTCTCAGATCTGCCAATGCGACCCCCCATAACTAGTAGTACAGCGGGGAGAGTTCAGAGCTCCGTGGTGGCCATAGTCGCTCGGTGAGGCGGCTGATAACGCGCTCTTGGAAATTTTCGATCAGCTTCTGGCGCACAGCTGCCGTGGTGTGCACTGTGGCACCATCCTGCTGGAACCACAGGCCGTCTCTTCGGACCCTGTGCCTGACCTGAGGCCAGAAGCATTCCTTGAGCAGCCTAAAGGTTAACCACCCCATTCAGTGTTGACCCAGGGGAACGCCAATGGATGAAGACTTGTCCGTCTACCGTAATCCGTAATGCGTTTTGGTGGTGTCGACATGCTCTGCTTTTGCGTGAAGGAAAATTTGCGTTGTGTATTTTTTATTTTTTTGGGACAAAACCCTATTCAATTTGCAACAATACACAAATAAAATTCGCGCGCAATTGATAAATTAAGAGCTCCTAATTAAATGTTCAAAAGTAACATTCATTATGAAAGACCCTGTATAATAGCAACGATTTTACCACCGTTGTACGTTATGTATTTCTCAAAGTTGACTCAAGCTGGTGCAGTATAAAATCTGGCCTGCCAAACTTATGGCCACGATCAGGCCTGAGGCCCAAATCAAAGCGGGATGACAATAGTCAATAGCAGATGTTGTCAAATCGATACCTACTGTATCAGCTGAAACCATTCAGATGACAAGGAAAATGCCATGTGTTGATGCGTAGATGTATGTATGAAGGAAACAAGAAGGAAAAAAGTCCGGAAAAGGGAGGAAAGATCTTTTCTCGCTGCCTCAATGTTGAGGGGGCGCCGCCCCCTCGGCTCTCAAGTTGGGGGGGCAAGCGCCCCCGCTGCCCCCCCTGTTCCCGGGTCTATGAATGACATTAACATCCCCTGAAATAATATGGCTTTATTTTTTGGCAATCGGAAACTTATTTTTCCTAACTGGCAACTGCACTCCTTTGTCCCAAGTATAGGTACTGATAGTGTGGATGTGGATGTGGATCTTTGTATTCTCATCTTTTGTACATAGAGCCCGGCTTCCACCGGCATCGAGTTCATTAAGGGCCGGTCACGTGACTGGCGGCAATTAGGGCGGCTATCACGGCGCGCTCTGCGCCGCTTCCCGCCGCCCCTCAGTCGTCGCTCTCACGATCACAATCGAGCCGAATAAATAATTCCGGAAAAAAACGACAGACTTTCAGCCGGCGGCGAAAATAGAGCCCGTTCGGCCGAGTAAACAAGCGGCCCGATCAAGATGGGGGCGTCATCATAACTCTGCTGGAACTGCGCCAGCGCTTGTTTTCCTGACGTGGCACTGCTACCGGCCGCTCTGGGTATGGCATTTCTGACGGAAGTGGGACCGGAGAGGGCCCAGTGGGCGCAGACGGGCTCGGGAGAAGTTATATGAATTATAGAAGCAAAAGCCGGACTGTGCCCACTGCCCAGAGTTGGTACCGTTGCAACAATAAAGCCAAACAATCTCATAGTTATTTACATATATTAGATGTCAATATGTTATTTCTTGCCTAGAATAAACGGCTTCATTCAGACTTGAAATGAGACAGGCACTCAGTGCACCATTGTTCAAAATGCCAGAGAAACTTAATTCAGATGAATGTAGAGGAATAAGCTCTCTTAAGTGTTGTACTGTGGTTTGGCAAGAGCTCAACGGATGTGCATTTTCAAAATATTGAACATGGGAAGGGAATGGTCAGCCTGAGCACTGTGAACAGGATACATTCATGCATCGTGTTAAACTGATGACTGTGATTAGGCGGACGATTTATGACACCGTTGACGAGGCTTACAAAAATGATAATTCATACAGGCTCGAAGAACACCATGATAGATGCCACTCGTATTATCGATTAAATGCAAATGAAATTAGTCGGGCGTCCGTAACAACCACCTGGCCGACAGACATTTTCTGATAGCATGCACTTACAATCAATATCCATTTACGTCTCTGGCACAAAAACTGCACCAGCCGGCGGCCGACTGTCTGACCGACCCGGCCGAGCACCAGGCCAGCTCGTCTGACCTCTGTGACCTCCCGTGTGACCTCGTTGACCTCTGGGCCGCGGCGGCCGCGGCGGGCGCGGCGGCCCCGCCCCTACACGCAGCCTGGACTGTGTTCCTGTCGAGCCCGCAGGCCTCGGCTGAACGGACGGCCACGCTTATTTTCCTAGCGCCGAATAAATATTTGAAACGACCCGCAGGACCGTCGATGTATTTCACCAAGGAATGGAAAATAAACAGGCGTGCAATCGATTCGATAATTACACACTGCCAAAAAAAGGCAGCCCCTGGCGGCGCGGCCAAGAGGTCAGTGGGGGGGCCATCTGTTGTCAGCGGGGGCCCAGAGGACGGTCTGGTGTTCCGATTAGCCCAGGAATGTAACGAGGTCGATACTGTTCGTCGCACTGTTGTCTGGGACGAATAAATGACTGACCGACGCGCGCGGTGCCGCCGTTGTGGACGGCGCCCAGGGCGTGGCCGCTGGCTGCCGTCGCCTGTCGCGTCGCATCGTTCCCGACGGCACCGGAAACGTCGAATCACCGTCAGCCGGCGGCGGCGGACCGACCGCCTCATGAAGCTTTAGCTATGATCGGAATCCTGTCAGTTAAATAACCGTCCGCGACCGCAGCGCCCCTGGCGGCGGCGACGGGAAGCCATCAGCTGACGCTGCCGCCTCGCACCGACCGGCAGACGGCGAGCGGACGCCAGAGTGTGAGGTTCTCCGACTGTGGCTCCGCCGCCACTGCTGAGAGCTCCGTGTCGGCGGTGATGAGAGTGGTGTTGTCGCGCGCCTGAATGCACCCTGCTCCGGTGTGCAGTGTCGCCATGGTACCCGATCTGCATGTTCCTCAGATGTCACTGGCGTTCGGCGAGCCTTCAATGTGCCAGCGAGGTGCGCCCGTTGAGCAGACAGTGCTGGAGCCGGCCAACGACTACTGGGCCCGTCTGCGTCCCGAGCCGACCTCTGCGGGTCCCCTGCAGACCAGCCTGTACCCGGGGAGCCGGCCGGCCGTGCGCGCCGCGCCGTGCCCGCCGTGCTCTGTGCCGTGCTCGGCGCCGCTGCGGTCCCACCGGGTCAGCAGCAGCTCGGACGTCAAGGACCTCAGCCAGCCGCTGTTCGTGGACACGACCGTCGAGTACGACCTGCCCAAGGCGGCCTACCCTCCGGACAACAGTGAGCCGCTGCTGATGGTGCACCCGCAGTACTTTGAGCACCTGCGGCATCGGCGCACCCTCGGCGCCGGCTGCGCGTGCCAGCTCTGCAACTTCTACGGCAGGAGGATGCCGCACGGAGGGCAGGGCGAGGCCGCCGCTGCCGCCGCCGCCGCGGCGGTGCCGGCAGCTCCGGCGGTCTCAGTGGCACCCGCGGCGTCAGTGTCCTCCACGGCGAATGTGCACCAAACCTTCCAGAAGCCGGAGGCGCCGCGGCACCACTGGCCGCGGCCGTTCCCTCAGCCGGTGCACCAGCACCAGCACCACCTCCTGCAGCAGCACCAGGCGGCGCAGCGTCAGCTGGCCGCCCAGCAGCAGCAGCAGCAGCAGCAGCAGGCGCAGCAGCAGGCGCAGCAGCAGCAGCAGCAGCAGCAGCAGCTGGCGCAGCAGCCGCGCTACAACTGTATGGTGGAGCGGCAGCAGCGGCGGGAGGCGGCGCTGGGCTGCACGGCAGCGGCGTTCGTCACGCCGACAGTGAGCTGTGACTCGGACAGCGGCTACTCCAGTGTCGAGCTGGAGCCCAGTGAGTGGGCCGCCGCCGGCCGGCAGCCGCAGGTAGTCCGCAGTGAAGCCCAGGTGCGCGATGTGCTGGCCAAGCGGAAGCGGCGGGTGGAGGCAGCGACGGCGGCCGAACACGCCGCCGCGACCGCCGCCAAACGACTCCGAGTCAGCTACTGGCCAGGTGAGGAATTGACTCGGGACTTGGGTGGTGTATTTTAGGTCGTCTAGGTGATTTATATTTTCTGGCAGTGTCCTGTAAGGTTTATTACTTTGTGTGCACCCTGCATCCCTGAAGCGCTGTCTTCGTTAAAGTTCAGACTGTTTTTCTCGAGACAAAGTCATTTTCTTGTGAATTTCTGAAGTGAGTCTGCATTTATTTTTGTAAAACATATTTAATTTCTGGATGAAATCATCCGTATCAGGCCCAGCACTAACAGCTGGTCTTCCTTTGAGGAAGACTGGCTCGCTCTCTAGATCGTTAACGTCACATGAAAGCGTCCGCTCAACATATTGCCAGTGCAGGCGGCAGCACAAGTGTTGCAAATTGCCTCGAGCTAGTTAATTGCCGTGACATTTGCAGACCCGCCTTAACCTTCATGACCTCGCGGCTCACGGCCCGCATTATTTTTCCACTTATAGTTGCACAGCGGACGGGGTGCGGCAGCGGTCCCGCTATTTATAACACCACTGCAAAACTCTGTACTGACGTCATTGCAGCACCTGCTTCCTTTGCCTAGACCATCAATCATCCGTTAGACGCTAGTCTCCTGTGTGTTGTGCAGTGTCTTTTTGTCTGTGACCATCCGTTTTACTTTACCGTCTGCCTGTGCGGTACTTCATATTCATCGATAATGGTGTTCTGCTGTAAGCTGGGATTGTGTGGGCCGGATTAAATCCGTCATGTGGTTTCGATTTCCTGTCGGGCGGTGTAATGAGTTGCCTCCGCAGGGCGCACCGTGGGACGCGATCGGTAATGAAAATGGCTTCCAGCCTGAAATTGCGGCCCCAAGCGGCATCCCTATCTTCTACCAACTCTAATTATGACCTCGGGCTGAACAACAGCTTTAGAGCCACCTGACTGATGGAACACTCCGCGGAAAAACATTACCCGCACCGAAAGTAGTCAGCCGCCGCGTCGTGATGAACTGCGCTCCGGTTGATGAAAACGGCCCATCGCGGGGCCGTTTCGGGGTCGTTGGGGTACGATGGCCCGCAGTTCGGTGTCGTACAGCCCAGACGTGTCGTTACTCGGGGTGGGTCGGTACGACGTTCGTCAGACGGCGGTCGTCAATCGGCCCCGGACGGGATGGCGGTGCGCCGTGCGCCCCCACGAATGGCCGGGTCGTGTTCGATCGCTCGGCAGATGGCTGTTCTCTTTAATGTCGGCCGTGATGAGTTGGACCATGCCACCGGACGGTCGCCGTCCGAGCGCTGCCGCCCGATCGGTTTTCGATGCGGCGCTGGCGCTCAGATTCGATGCGACCCCCTGACATCTCGGGTCGAATCGACCGGTTCGATGGTCGGTCGAACCCTGGCGGTTCGATGGGCGCTGGAACTCTACTCATCAGACCCGATGATGAACTTGATCGAACGGATTTGTGCCTAAAAGAGCATCCGGCGACATTGAGCTAAAAGTGCCGTTCGAAAGAGACCCCAGCTCCTATTTAGACGGCCCGCCCGCCCGCCTGCACCGGCCGGCTATCCGGGCGAGGTGTCGGCGCCGCCGAGTGCTCCGAGATCCGCTCCACCTGGGTGGCTGGTCGCCCTCTCCGTAGCTGTCCGGGTGTCTGAGACAGCCCGCTGTGTCCATCAGACGGTGTCGGGACCACCCTGCGGCCTCCGCCGTCCCTCCGCCGCCCCGGAGCATCAACAAACGCCGCTGGGTGGGCCCGTCCGTCCGGACTCCGGAGCCGAGCACCGGGATCCGGCGGCGCACGGTAGCCGCCGGGACGCTCCATTACGTGACGTCACAATGACGACACCGGACAGTGATTACCTCATTTAAATACGGCGGCACGATTGCCGTGAATCATCTTTGACGCTGGTCACTGGGTTTAACTGCCAGTAAATCCTGCTGAGTTGCTGCTCTGATAAATCTGACCGGCGTGGGAGAGAGGTAGAGTGCCCCGCTGTGGGAGAGAGGGAGTGAGGGCGGAGAGAGTCTGATGGCGGACGGTAGTTGGGCTGGGAGGGAACACTGGCAGGCTGAGTGACGGCCCGACAGGCCAACTCCGGCGGGAGGAGACGCTCTAATCCGAACTCCGCCCGACTTGCGTGTCAGCTGCCGGTGCCCGTCCGACAGCCGCTCGGTCGAGCCTCTCCGGCGGCGCGGCGGCTGCCACTCCGCCCAAACCGCGCACCTGTTCACCTCTGAAGAGCCGCCGCCGAGGCGGAAACCATCTAATGCTCAGCCATTTCGACCTTTCAGGCGCGAGCGATGATCCGCCTTCGCTATCTCCGAGTGTCATTTTCACCGAACTCGATTCACCAACCCGATCAATGATCATCAGAGCTCCGCCTCCCACTTCCCGTTTGCATCAGCTTCTGTTCCCTTTTTGCCGTACCGTATGGCTGATATCTCTGTGCAATATTGCACGCGGTGCACCCATCAGACCAGTCCGCCATCCGCGGCGGCGGCGGCGGCGGCGGTGCAGGAAGCGGCGCCAGTCTGTCTGCCGCTCGCTGGGCCGCTGGACGGCTGCACCGCTGCTGGCCGGCCTTGGCCGACCGAGCCCCGTCGCTCTGTCCCCAGTGCTCCGCTGCTCTGTCCCGGACGTTCTGTCGCTCTCACTCTCGATGTCACTGGCTCCCAGCGGCGTACTGGGCCGTGCTGGGACGTGCTGAACTGAGACGTGCTGAGAGGAACTGAGTGCTGGACCAAGGCGTGCTCTGTGACTTCGTGTGCTGAGACGTTCTACGGCTCTACGCCTTTTTGCGTTATTGCGAAAAGAGTGCTGACTGCTATATTGAGATGCCGTTTTGATGTAGGTGTCTGATGGCGCAATGGCGTTCTCCTGTAGGCGTTATTACGGCTGTTAGCTGACAACATGTCGAGTAGTTGGTTTCAATTTCATTATTTTCATTCCTTTTGTTATTTATTTTGGCAGCGCCGAGGATCAGTTCAGTGGATATTCCCCAGTGACCTCTACAATTTTCCTGGAACCCGGCGTATCTGTCTGAATGGAACAAATGATCTCAGAGCATATGAGGTGGCTTTATGAGCTCGGGTGACACACTCTCGCCTTTTCCCGGCTGGTGTGTCATATACCCTGGTCTTTTCCCGGCGCATCGTGCGCGGATATTGAAGCATCTGTCCGGGCCGGGATGGGTATTGATACGGCGCGTCGACCCAGGTCGTTAATCAGCTCCGCGCCGGCGGGCGTACCGTCTCCCTCGGCCGGGCCGGAAATTTATCATGCTATCGAGCGCGGACGGCGGACGGCGCTTTAGATCAGCCAGATTACCGTGCGGCCCGACCGAAAGCCGCTTAATTGCATACATAAAACGTGCTTTTAACCGAGATCCATCCAATTACGGCCGTCCCGCCATTGAGGGGGCCAGGCGGGGCGGAATGCCGCCAGGCGGGGCGGCGTGCCTGTCGGCTCGGAACCGACAGCACCGACAGGCGGGCCGGCGCCGCGGCGCGCTCGGCGTGCACCCTGTCGGCCGTGCCTGCTGTGCCCGTTCCGTGTCGTACCTCCGTGCCGTGCCTCCGTGCCGTGCTGGCTGCCAGATGCATCAGAGCCGCCAGAGCCGCTGCCGGCGCCGGCGCACCAAATTAATGGTCCAACTTCGTGACAAATGCCATTAGGGGCCAAATGAAGAAGGAGCACTATTGAATCGGGCCGGCGCCCACCCGCGGCTGGCCTCCCGTGGCGGGAGGAAGGGGAGGCCGGTGGGAGGCCTCCCGGTGGGCGCCGCGGGAGCCCCCTCCCCGGGAGCCTCCAGATGCGGGCGTGGCGCGGAGCCAAACGAGCTTCCTCGATCGATAGCATGTCACAGTGTCAATATGGCGACAGCGACACGCCAATCAGACTCGACCGGAGCGGACGGGCGCCTCAGCTCGTCTGATCGAGGGACCGTCCCTCACTCGTCCCCTCCCCTCCCCCGCTTCCCACACCGAGCGGTGCCAATGCCGACCGGTTTGATGGATGACAGACCTCGCTCCCGCCCTCCCCTCTGGACTGCCGGAACGGGGAGGGGAGCGAACAGCTGACAATATTCAGGCTGGTAGCTATCAGCTGGGGAGGACCGCTCATTCATTCCGCTAGCCGCCCGGCCGGCTATTTCTGTCGTATTCAGACGGCTGAGTGTGGCGAATGCAGCGCTTGATGACGTGGCGCAGGGATAGATGGAACGAACATCCGTCGTCGCCGCTGTAAGTCGTTTTCATTTTTGACGCAGTGACTGAGTCGTTTTCGCCACCGTCGCAGTGCCGCCGAAATGCCGACCAGCGAGGCTTTGCGGCTTTTTCCTCGAATGGATTTGGGTCAGACAAGGCGACGTCTTTGCGCCGCCGGCCTTTGTACCCGAATAAGAACTTTTGTGAATGCGAGGGAAACTTTTCCTGAAATGAGCAGCCCGGGAGCACTTTTAGTTCCGTTTTAGTTCGCCAGTTCTGACGCCGTATTCTCGCAGAGGCTCTGTGGTGCCATCGATCGGCGCCATTTTCGCGAGCGGCAGTCGTGGGTCGGCCAGGGCAGACAGCTTCCTCGTCCATCCAGCAGGCAAAAACCACCGGCTACCTGTGTTACGTTTTCCACCCCTCCCCTCCCTCCCTCCCTCCTACTGCAGCGTGCAGCAGCGGCTCCCACCTGACGTGTGGGGGAGGGGGCGGGGTGGGAGGGGAGGTCGGAACCTAAGCCGACCGCAAAAACCGTCACCTGATCGGACAGCTGACAGGCGGGCGGGAGGGGAGGGGAGGGTCGGGAGGGCGGAGCGGCTCGGGTGACACACTCCCGGCGGGGAGGGGTGGGGACCGGGGGATTAGCTCCCCACCCCCCGCCGCGCCGCCTGGGAACGACCGACTCCGCAGGGATAATGAGGTGTCAGGTCGGGCCGGGCGAACATTACCCCAACTGATCCGCTGTGCCCCCTCATTACCCACCTCCCTCCCCCAGTGATCCCCTCCTCTGAGGGTGACACTTGGCGGCGCAGCGACACAGACCGTCCCTTTGTCGTCCCGACAGCCCCGCCCCCCGTCTGTCCGCTTAGCCGCCATTGAAACTGCCAGACCCAGCACGCTGCCAGATGACGCCTTATGCCGTAATGACGTTCATGTGTCGTTACTTTTACGGCGCCTTTCGTTAATTTCGTGTCGGCGGGCGGCGCTGTGCGATGTCGGCTCGTTTATCGCCGGCCGGCCGGGCACAGCGTCCCCTTGTGATGTATGGCCGCTGTTGCGCCGGCCCGGCCTGAGTGACAGGCACTTTGGTGGGCGGGTGGCGTGCAGGGGGCTCAGTTGTGCTCTCCCAGAGATATGACCTCCGGAGTGGGCCTGACGTGGCCTCTCCGGGGACCGCCAGCGGGTCGAGGTGAGACGCCGCCGCTCCCGACGGGCCGACGGCTCCGACACGGCATGTCGTCCGGTATTGAACGACGACGCCCGGTATCTGGGGCGGCACGTCCGGGACCGCCGGGCGCGGCCGTGCCGCGACGTCGCCTCACTCACGTCACGTCCGCGTTCTACCGTCACTGATGTCACGTCACTGATGTCGCTGACGGTAGCACCGCGGCGGGTCGCGGTGCCCTTGTGATGCCAAGCACAGCGCTGGCGGGGCGTGCCCGCGACTGCCACCGCTCTGAGTCACTGGGAGGAAGTGGACTCCGCGACCGGCGACCGCAGTGAAACGCTCAGCAAACACTGCTAGCGCCTCGCTAAGAGCGCGGCCGGGGCCGGCGCGCCCGATTGGAACCGGCCGGGCATTAATGACTGCAAACACGGCGGCTGTGTCAATATTTAGCGTGATTAGTCTGCGAGCGCACGGCGGGCCCGGCGCCACGTGGCGCGCCGTGGGCCCTACGTGCCGTGATACGTGGCGAGATAGGGTGGAGCACTGCCGCTCCAACTGCCACGTGTTTTATGCTGCAGCCTGTATCATTTGATGAGAAAATACCTCCGTCGGCCGGACCATCGCCCGCCTTCTGGCGCCCTAAAAACGCCTCGTTATCGCTGCGTCTGTAATTAAGAGCGCCGTAAAGTGGGGCAATTTACCTGTTTTATGGCCGGCAGGCTGCCATTGGGCGGCACTCAGATCGTCCCTCAATTTAGGCTGTCGACGCCGGCGGTTTTCGCACAGTCGTCACCGCCGCCACCATCATCGCTGCCGACGGCACGGCGGTGGCGGTGGCGGTGGCGGCTTTCACGATGCCCGCAGCCCTCCGCCCGCATACACGGAGCTCCATAAACAGACGTCGGATTGTGTTTGGACGCAGCTGCCGGCGGCACTTCACCGGCAGTAAAAATACGGCCGCCGACTTTCGCAGCTACGCAATTCATTGATGTCGGAAGCCGGACGGCGATACCGGCGCATTTATGAATATCCAGCCAATGTGGGTGACGGACGACTCGCTGGCATGCGGGTGATGTGATTCTATTTATGTCAATCACATGCAAATGAGTTCTGGAAATCGGTGATGGCGATCCCAGCTCCTGCATGTGATACAGGTGACGTCACTGACGTGACAGCAGCTGTTTTCGGTGTAGATGACGTCATGTAGGGTGGTGACCGGGCGCAATATAGCAGCCTCAGTCGGAAACGGCGCCGTTTGCTGCTAACGGCTGGCAGTCACGAGCACGGGACAGAGCGCCGGAGGAGGTGGCTCCGTGCTCTGCCCTGTCTGTCGGCTCTCGGAGGTGATAGTCGTCTCCAAACAGCGCCCCGGGCCGTCAGCGCAACCGGGCGTCCGACTGAGCAAACAACGCGTCCGTCGCCGCCCCCCCCCCCCTCCCCCGGCCGACACGGCCCACACCGGCGCCGCCGAGGGACGGAAAAGCTGAGACAAATCGCGTCTGCCGCGGCGGGCGGCGAGCTTCCGCCCCACTCAGCTCAGCGACTAGCGCAGAGGAAGTTCGTTTCTCCGTTTCCGGATTTTGGAATTGTGCTTCCAGGAAGATGGAAAAACTCCACTTCCGGTTGACCTGAACCGGCCGCGACGCTGAGACTTTGTCACCTCCGGCCCGCTGTCGGCGCGCGACCTTTGTTTGACCTTAAAACTCCCACATGAAACTTTGATATATGATGTGTGGAAAACGCTTTCTGCAGAAAACGACGAACGACTTTCCGGACAGGGAGCGGAAACTTGCCGCTCCGCCGCTGTGCGGACTGATGCGATTTTGTGTGGGCTGTTGTGTCCGGGGGTGGTTGTTCCCACCGCAGGCGACCGATGGACGCGGGTGGGGCCGCTCATTGTGCCCGGCCGCCCTTGGTTCGTGATTCATCACCTGGCTCTGATGGCCGCGCGCCATCAAAGGATTCATTAATGGCCAGCCATCGATTGTCGAAGGGCCCCGCGGTGGCGCGCCGACGACGATGAATAGCGCGCGGGGTGTGGCGCTCTTCCTCCGCCCTCTGCGCGAGATCACTCCCCACCCTTCTACCGGACACTCCGCCTCTTTTTCACCGCTGGCTCTCCGGGTTTCTTTCCTCTTCGCCTGGCCAGCTGATCCTCTTCTTCGCATCCATCGTCGCCTGGTCTCTGCGCGCCTTTCGTCTGCGCTGCGCTGTTTACGGCGCTCCGCCTTTGGCTGCGCTCCGTCATGCCGCGTCGGATAAGCCGCCGGCCGTGCGGCACAAAAGCCGCGCAGCGCCATTCATCGGCGCGCCGTCCATCAGCGGCTCCGTCTATTTATCGGGCGCCCCGCGCGGCCGGCGGCGCATCCATCGCGCTCAGAGACGCGCCGCCCTTTCAGCCGCGCCATTCGTCGTAAACCGAGCCGGCGGCGGCGCGGCAGCGCTGTTTGTGGCGCACTGCCGCCCGGCCGGCGCAGCGCGGCATTCAGCGGCGCACGCTGGCGCAGCGCCGTGAGCCGAACCGATTTCTTTACGGCCGTCGGAATTACGTGGAGCGTGAGCGCCGGTAATGGTGGCCTTCGGGTGCAATCGAGCGGACCGGCCGGTCATTACCGGGCACGGGTAATTCTCCGGCATTGACAAATGTAATCGCGCACAATTGCGATTGTGGCCACTCCAGATGGCGACCGGGCAATTTGTGCCGCCGGAAGTCTATTTGGGGTCGCCGCCGGTGGAGCGGGTTCTCACGAACAGCCCCCACTCCCCGCGGACGCTCTCACGTCATGTGTTTGTCCTCGGCTCTGGCCGGCGGCGGCGTGACACCGATCCCGAGCCACTCTTTGTTTTAGTTTTTGTCGTTTGTCTTATGTGCTGAGTGTATTGGAAGGTCCCCTGTGCCGTCTGTCGCAGATGTTTGATTGTTTTACCCGATTCGTTCGGTCTTTGCAGTTTATGCAGTTCGTCGTCGTTGTATGTGCAGCGATGGCGTTTTGTGTTTCGGTTGACTGAACCTGTTTGTGACGGTTGTTTCTCTGCTGTTTCAGGCGGCGTCTCCTCGCTGGACATGGCTCCCTACCTGCACCGACAGCCGGCCGTGATGTAGCCCCGCCGGCTACCGTGGCCCTGCCGGTCGGCTCTGGCGGCATTGACGAGTGGCTGTGTGGCGATCGGCGCCTCTCTGCGAGAAGAGAACGCGGTGGACCGGCTCGGAGAACCCTGCGCCTTCTCAAGGAACACACTTCCAAGAACGTCAGGCATTTCGATCTGAAGACCACCACGCTATCTCGTTGGCGGAAACTCAGGCTTTTAACCGTCGCGCGCGCTGCGTTGAGGATCGGTGTTGTGCCTCGGTTGAGACTCGTGTGGGTTCTCAGCGGAGAAGGCCGACGGTTCTCGGCCGCGCCGCGAATGGGCATGCGTCGCAGGCCACCTGGCCGCGCGCTGGCGAATACCTGTTTCTGTGATTCCTCCCGTGTACGCGTCTCCATGTGATGCTATTGTGGCTTTCATAATGTGATGTCAAAGGACAGAGCCGAGTTAGCTTTAATTGGTTTACCGTTGATTTGGTGTTTCTGTTGAGTTACTTTTCCAGGGTGCGTTCGTCTGGCGCTCGCGGGTCGGCCGCCGGATGGTTTATTTTAAACCTTGTTATCTGATGGTGTAATGAACGTATATCATTGAGGTCGTGTTCGGATAAATATAGACACGGTGTCATTCATCACGGCGTTGGTTTCATCTGGGGTCGGGGTCCGGGAGGGGGAGGGGGGCTGATGACGCCATGGCGGGCTCGTCCGTCTTCATTCGGTTAACTGACGACCGGCTTCTGGGAACGACCGCCGTCTGCGACCTTCGGCAGCGAACCTGGCGCACCGGCCGCGCACTGAGTCACCCTGCGCCACTGACTGCACGGCTGGCACCGCGGGCTCAGACCACACGACAGCGGCACACTCGGGCTGCGGCACGCCCAGCACACTTGACACATCACTCGCGCCACCTGACACGAAGGTGCCACATAGAACACGCCCCGACACCTTTGCGGAGTGGTGCGACGCCCCGGTTCAGGGCGACGCCTGAGTGCCGCGCCGACTCACCGATATCTCCCAACATCATCGCCGCCCTCATCACCATAACCGCATCACGCAACACTCGACATGCCACAGGGGGAAGCGTTTCGCACACGTCACGACATTGGCTTGTGGGGCACGAGCGGGCCTCGGGCCGGGTGACCGACCACCAGCGCGGGATCTTCCCGCATCGGCCCTCCGCGAAACGGCACAGTCCCGTGCCGAGCTCCGAGAGTCTTATCTACGATCTTTCGTCATCGAATGGCGAGGGGCGTCTCGCGGGGTCTGACTCGGCTAATATATACCACAGATTCGCTCACATCAGCTGCTCGCTGCATTATGGGACGGGAAACCCTTGCATTGCGATGCATCGACACGGTGATCTAAATCGAGACGAGGACCGGCTCGCACATGCGGTCGGTCAACGCTTTGCAAGTCGAGGAGCCCCGACAGCCACGGCTGTAAGCGGCGACATGCACTATGCATGTTCCGAAGTCCCTCTCTTGTCGACAACATCGCCAAAGGCGGCCACTGATGGATCAGCTGCGGTGCGTTTCGCTTCTATATCGCTATAGGTCTGGTCGCGGTTTCTGAAAAAGGAAAACGTTTTTAGTGTGCTAAAGGGACATTGAAGGAACGCACGACAGTGAAAACGTGAATATTTGACAATATGGAAAAGAGATTTACTAGCTTCACAGCTCTACAATTCTTTGGACTAATTTCAGCAAATGACTTACTTAGCGTTTCTGGCGAACATGCATATCAGCCCCACCTCGCACCTTCCATTTGAGTCACCGGTTCCCGTTACGCTCGTCATAACCAGCCCAGCTCACGGGGTTCGCCTGCGCCATAACCGGGAACGATATGCGTTTTGTGATGGGACCGGGGACGGGACACTTCCACCAGACCGTCTGCGCTGCGCCTGGCAGGCTGTCGGCCGTTGTCGGCTTTACGACCTCGGGCTATACCGCCTGTCAGCAGTCGGAGGTAGCGCTGCACCTAGCGCGACTGCCGTTGTATAGTTGGACTAGACGAGGAAACGGCGTCTTCCCCTTCCTTCGACCGTGCCCGGGATCTGTGTCATTGGGGAGGAGCCAAGCGGGTCGGGTCCCGAGGGTAACGGTGGATTGGATAGGAGTGCTATTAGCGTTACCACGTTATGCTCGACATCAGCGTTGCACTTACCCTCATCGCCATCATATCGTGCTATCGTTTCAGGTCCACGGACCTGAGTGTCGGGAGAGTGCCAGATGAACAATGACGCCAAAGAGGGAGAATTCTGACCAGCAAACGATTCTATCTTTCGACGTAGCGGAAAATATGCCGCTTGCTGACTTAGTCGCCAGATGCTGTGATACGGAATAGTACACATCTTGCTCAAGATGGTTTCGATATAAAACAGAACAGGCATGACACAACGAAACCGCCCACTTTTCTTGTACGAAGTGGAGACGAACCGCTGACTGGTTGAATTCTACAGAAATCCTGAAAGCACTTTCTGACACTGCGGGATGGGGTTCTGGGATGTTTTCTTTGATAAAGGCGACGTGCCGAAGCGATGCGCCGTGTATGACCCGGGTCTCGGGTACGGAACAATGGACACGTCGCCCCCGGTGGCGCCGTTCCATGACAGCGTGACCCTTATGGCGGTGTCACGCTGTAGGGGCCGCGGCAATGGCTTCGGCAACGACACCGTCACGCCATGTCATCTCACGGAATGCGCGAACATTTCATTGCCGGCCATAATAACAGCCGCGCCGACGGCCTATCTCAAAAGGCCAGGCTCAAAGGGCTTTACCAGCACCGCAACTTGGCTGGAAATGTCGCCGCCAAGTGTCTGCTGCGTGCTTAGGGACGCTGTGAAATGGGACAAGGCATTAATTTTGTGGATAAATATAGCCATCATGCATGGCTGGCTGTATGCATGACAGCATATTCATAACCGTCACATGTCATGAGCCGCTGCTAGGAATGCCAGAAATGAAAACATAATGATGGAGAAATATACGCATGTAGGTCATACCAATAACATCATACTGTTTTAAAACGTCGGTACAAATGCGTCGTTCCGCCAGCGGTAGCGAAACGCAGATTTTACTTTGAGCGATCATGCATCATGCTGTCGGTGGGCGTAACCTGTGCAACTTGAACTTTACCTGACATTCTAACTGCATGCCTATTGCGGAAAAGCATGTTCACTGTAGGAAGCGACACAAAATTCTGAGAGCAAATGCGTCCATCTTCCATTATTCAGCGCTCGCCTTTGAGCAGTGAGCGGACAATGAAAAATGGCCTGTGAATAATGAACTGAGAGAACAAAGCGCAGTTTGTTCTGTCACGCTGTTCTGTTCACTGTAAAAAAAGTTTAGCATTTGGGGTACTAACGGCTGCTATTCGTAGCACCTTTTAGCGTCAAAAGAACCCTACGACGTATTTGCAAAGAAGCATGGTGCTAATACTGTGCTAATGATAGCTAACATTCCCATCAAATATTATAAGTTTAGATCACCTATTCTTCTACTGAGCTAAACGTCTACTTCTGCTAGTACCCAGTCCATCAGTGAGTGCTCTTTCAAGCTGGATTTCTAATTAGAACCATTTTAAGTGTTTTAGAAGTTGGTAATGCTGAATATGGTGCTTACGTTAGTATCACAATAGAACCGGACATGCTTACAGAGGAAACAAATTTGAAATTGGCGCCAAAGAAAGTAGCTAAGCCCTGCTTTACAAATCTCTGGGAGTCTTATCACCAGCCCTTTAGCACGTTTTGACGGCGCAGAGCGATATGCGCATGCGCGTGCCAGCTGTTTCCGGCCACGTGTTGCGCCATTTTAGTGGAGTCCGTTGGTCGTGGCGGGAGTGTGTGCACGTGCTCCGGTATATGAAGTGAAATGAAGTGAAGTGAAGTGCTCCGGGCACATGCCATCGAGTGATAGCTCTGGAATGATAGCTTAAATCAGCTGTTATCGGTGGAATCCGTCGTGCGTGGCATGGGAGTGCGTGCCCCTGCTCCGGGAGGCAGTGAGGTGGAGGGATGTGCAGTGCAGCAGTGCAGTGAAGTGAAGTGAAGTGCTCCGGGGCCGGGTGGTACATGAGCATTTGCCACCGACATGCCACCGACACCGACGTTGATCGACTTTGGTGAGTCTGACACGTTGTATCTTTTGACATTATCTTATATTGTTTAAGTGCTTCATATTCCGACTTTAGCAAATCGCGCTTCTTGGTCTGAAGGAAAGTTGTGTTGTTTGCGAAAATAGCTTCCAACAGAAAAAAATCTTGGAACTGATCCAGTTTTTTTTTTGCTCCAGGCATGGGGCCTGGTCAGTTCTTCCGTCGACTACCACTTACAATGGAGGACAACTACGACAACAACACGGGGTCTCCGGTTCCGTCTATCACTAAACGCCGTCTGGTCGTGGATGAGGTCGAACTTATGGCCATGAACGGAACGTCGGTTCAACGACCCCCCCGCCTCCCCCAGTCGATCTCGCGTTAATCGTCGGTCACTGCGAGTGTGCAGGTATATGAGCGACCTTTCGTTATTTCCCGTGCGTTTGTTTGTGTATATATATTTACATTTGTTTTTCATGCAGATGATACGAAGTGTTAATAAATGTTCCATTATTATTTTTTAATTTTATAATGTGTTGGATGCTTGAAAGATGCACTTACACGGGAATATTGCAGAATGCAAAACACAATCATTGAGACTTGTTGTTATCACTTATCTAGGATATAACCTTTTTTGCACGTCTTTTCGGCCTTACACAATTTCCTTTTTGGTAATTGATTAGTCCTTTTTGCAGTAACTAGTGAAAGTATGTGCTGCTAAAGAAAGCAGTTTTTGCGAACTTTTCATGCAGCAGCTTTAACTAGTATAGATATTCTACTTTCAGCCCCAATGCTTTCGTTAGCATTATTCTACTTGTCGTGGGGTAACAATAGCGCTAAAACGGTTCATATGTGAGTACGGAAGGTACTAACTGCATGCTATTCTTAGCACCTTTTAAAGTTTAGCACCGCTAGGGTACTGAAAATTGGTCTAGCAGGTGTAGGGTACTACATTTAGTACACGGGTGCTAAACAAATATGGGTACTTACATTAGCACCTTGATACTAAACTAGATCTCAGTGAAGTACGAATAAAATGCTTAGCTTAGCACCGCTAGGGTACTGGAAATTAGTCAATTGAAAAGTACCTCTATGGTGCTTAACTTTTTTTACAGTGTTTCAGCCCACGCATCAACAGACGTCCAGCATGAAAGCTGTATTATCCATCAGACGTCAGCGGCCGCCGCCATCAGCATTCATTAGTCCCTCCATCAGCAGCCATCAGCAGCGCCTTCCATCAGCAGGGACGGCTTCCATCAGCAGCTGGCGGCGGCTGGCGGCGGCGCCAGCTGTGCTATCGCCCCGGCTAATGCAACTCGAGAACTTAATGGTGTGTGTGTATAGAGATAAGACGGCTTTTAGCACCGCCGAAGATGGGCCGACAAGGCCTGGTGGCGCGCGGAGCAGCGCCGCGTGGTCCGAGAACGGTGTGAACTGGGACACCGCCGCGGCACCAGCTCAGGGTGAGCCTGGTGACGCTGGTGCTGGTGATGGTGATGGTGGTTGTGGGTTGTGGTGACTGTGGTGGTGATTTTGATAATTA